AGAGTGCACAATAGAATCAAAAGTATAAATAATAGTACAAATTATAGTATTATTACTATTATTTTCATTCAATTTAATGAACGGAGATAAACTTTTATCCTCAGTTTTCAATTATACATTTTTGTGTGAGAACTTAGGATACTTTCTACTTTCATAAACCCAAGTTATTGCTCTACAGTCAGTAGTCATTAAACTTCAGTAATTGTCATTTGAATTATTCAGTCAAATAATAAATATTCGTAATGTAGATGATATAATGGGAGGATATAAATTATTTTCTATTTTTGCCCGTTATGCTACTAATAATACGATAATAAGAATGGGGACTGAGATTATACTACCACTAAATTGGATACTTAATTGATACGATATACACAAACTGGATCAAGTTATACCAGGTACACAATTTGTGACTAAATATAAAGAACCGCATTATAAATTAGACAGTACTTTATTCAACACAACTATAAAATAGACTACACTCAGCGAATTCAGTGTAAAAATCAAATTAGAAGGGAAATCTTATGTTTATTAGTTAGTAAGCTGTACCTGTCAGTCTATGTTCACTGATCAATCACATTTATTTCACTGGGAACATCTAAATAATTTATTTATTCTAAGATACTTCTCTTTTACTGACATTTTATTAACATACACCTTATACGTACTGATCTTTAATAATGAATATAATGATTATCAATTAGCTTTTATGCTTCAGTAAACTCCCCAGCAAGAAAGCGCAACAGTAAGTTAAAACTATGTCGAAAATGAGAGTTTAGAAAAACACACTATATAACAATAGAGAAGTGTTACTAATAAATCACTTTAACTGTAACTAAGCTCTACGACATTGGATCAAATGCAGTAATCAACAAGTGTTGAGATACCATTTCAGCACGAATGAATTAACATAACTATTCATTCAGCTTGATAATTGTATGGTAAACCTGTTAGATTAAAATATAGATGGTAATGAAAATAGACAGTAAGACATATTAGATACATTCAGTGGGATTCCTATCATTACATCTGAATTTATTATTTGTTTTAGATTAAAATAATAATTTGAAAGGTTTTCTTTATTCAGACAACATTTCATTTCACTAAATTTCATTTAGAAACCTGGTTCAGACTTTTTGGCCTAAGGATCTGACTCTGATTATAATAACAAAATATAAAATTCGGCTACTTTCGTATGCAATTATTGACTTGATTAGTTCTAGAAATTAACTGAATAAGTCAAATACGAGAATGAATTTTGGACATACATATTTCATGATTGATTCAGAGAAAGTCAGAGAAACGAAGCGGAGGAGTGAACTGGAGACGATAAACATACCAGCTCCGTTTGATCAAACGTGGCTCAATATTTATAGCCACATAAAAATAAGCCAAAGACATGTGACAAATAGAGTAAGCGATTCACGCATACACTCATATAAAAACAGTCAGGGCTGATGATAAGCGAATAATTGACAAGGTCAAAATGTAACTGAATATGAATAAATGAATTTATCTGTCCGAAAGCTAAAATACCCCACGTGTGACACACATTTTGCAGATAAACTCCGTTTTTCCATTGTTCTATTAAAAACTGATAATTATTTTCATAAAATGTTCAGCGAGTAGTTGAAAAGTTGTTCTTTTTATCGTCTTTGTTTTAAATTACTAAGTGAGTAACGGTGATTGGTAAGACAACTCTGAGACAGAATTACAAGAATAATTTTTCTAGTTTGGCGTATGCGAAACGAAGAGCTTAATAAAGAAAGTGGGACGCAGCCGTAAACCATCATCAGGCCACAGGTAAACCTAAGGAAGAGGTCACTCTATTCAGTACAAAGGCCCAATAAATGATTAAATATAATTCAGATTACTGACTAATATTTAATAGTATGTCTTGTACATAAAAAGATCAACCGTATGGTAAATGAAGCTAAAAGTAACGAAGTAATGAAATATGTCTTCACAAAATAATGTTAACTAGGATTTTGAAAAAAACAATTTTTATCGGAACAAGACAGATATGATCCTGAGATGGTGGAGAAGATTTGTAGCTCTGGTGCACGGTTTAAGAGGAGTTTTGTTATCTGACCTGGATGGATTGGTCGTGGAGGTTTCATTGTTCTATTGAACAGCATCATCAGCACAAACTTCAGTTAGAAATGAAGTGTTTTATTTTCTCCACATATGACTCACAGCTTGTCCTGTAGACCTCAATCTTGAATGGTTATTGCTAACCTTTAACCTGTCATTGTCCACTTCTTTATTTTGATTGTATCTCTCATTGATACAATTCACGTCTACCTGAAGTTTGTACTGTTGATATTGTTCAGAAGAACAATGAAAACACCATGATCAAACCATTCAGCTCAGAGAACAAAACTCCATCTAAACTAATAGGATCTCAATATAAATTCTAGTACATTTTTATCATGGTTAGCTGTGAAATCTATAACCTACTTCTTGATGTACTTGTATTACAGAGTTGGTATTTATTCCCAATCACTGAGAGACCTGATCATAAACATTAAAGAAGTACAAATTATTAGAAAATAATTCCAGTATAACTATTTAGAAAATTCAATATATTTCAATATCATTGTTTCAGTTCTTTATTTATTTAATTAATCAAATGTTTGATGTTAACGGTCGATAGATAAATCACCAACTGTCAATAATACCAATGAACTATAAAAACTTTCAATTTTTGTTGTGTTTTGTTTAAATAGAACATAAATTCTTTTCATCTTCACTTCTTTATATTTATAATCATCTTATTCTATTGTTTTGAATGAATGAATGAATCAATGTGTTATTGTTATCATCTAATGAATTTGTTATTTATATATTAGACAATACACAATACTTTGATGTTAATATTTACATTCTACTTTAAATATTTAAATATGAATATAAAAATAGAAGAGCTAAATTTAAATACAATTTATATTAGTATATAATTAATCAACAATTTATAAATGAATCTTCATAATCAATATGAAACGAAATGTTCATTTTGTTGTATCTGACATTGGCTAATTAGTTAATTGTAAATGTATATCACTATATTTTATACAATAACAACAAGAAAAATAGTTATTTAAAGTATTAACTTTACATAATATCTGATTAGATTGATAAATGAATATATAGTGAACACATAAATATTGTTACAAAAGGGAACCGAATACATATGTGCCACACCAATCATATGGTTGGTGTGTAAGCTGTGATACTGCTCGGGTGCCCAAACTGAAGTAAATGGTTTCATTAGAGCTCCATATCCAGAGAATTCGATCTAAACATCTGATCCACAAAGCGGTGAAGCAACATTAGGAGATGTGATCCTATGGTAGACGATGACCAATAATTGATTCATACTCCATTTGTTTCCTCAGGATAGTGGAGCCCATGTGCACTATTGGTCTGGAATCAGGGTTTCCTAACTCCTCTAAGTGGATCCTCCATATCCACCAACCCGGGTTAAAGCATTGAACATTCACTTTTTGTCCTCTCAGTCCCGTACATAACACCCCTGCCTCGAGAAGTCAGTGAGTTGGACTTCTCTGTCAGTGGCTGTAATCGCGTGGTTATGTGAGGTTATTTCGAGAGGGAGAGCTGACTATCCCCGCTCTTGACTATACCAGGGCATTGGGAGGCGTGTATATAAACATAAATTCTAAAGATATCATTACCAATTGAATCATAGTAAAAGAAACAGATCGTACATGCTAATTATTAACTATGGTCAAATATTTTATTATTTAAAGTGTTAACTTTGACGAAGAAAATGATTAGATTTATTTGTGTTGTATGTTCAATATAAACACTTATAATTCATTCTAATACTTAACAACTATCTTCATTTTCACTCACAGCTAACTTCTAAATGATTACTATATATCTATGTAACAGGATCATACTTTATTTCAATAAATGATATCATAGGTATAGTTGATTGACAACTACCATTTATTTTTATTCATTTCATTGAAAGCCTATGAACTATTGTTAAATGTTACAATTTAATAGTTGAATTCATAAGTCAATTGAAGCTAGATTACCATGAAAAAATATGGATGTACTGAACGGCCGTTTTTTTCTAGTACGGGACTCCTCAACAGCGCGCATCTACAATCTCATATTGCGAGATTCGAAGAAAACAATATTCATTCGAATAACAGTTAATAACAACTAAAGATCTTAAATGAAACTAAACACATATCTTAGTGCTATATCCCGATAAGAATAATGAATGGTAAATTTTGGGATCCATTTATGGACCAGTACTATGCGTATATTTTTATCGTATAATTGTTAAATAACTAAACTATTCATATTCATGTCCCTCTTATCATAAGCTTTAATTTGATCTATGAATTATTATTATACGATTTACCATTTTGGAGTTATGCCCTGTCTATCAATTACTATCTCTCTCATTCACAGCCACATTTGGCCAAATCTTGTACAAATGTTATTTCCTATTTTCTGGTACGATGTGATCTGTCTGGTTGGTATATAAACCCATTATATTTGGAATAAATGATTCATATCACAGAGGCTGAGATTGGTGTTCTGGACTTAACTGGCTGGGCTAGGCAGGAAGCGGGACCGATAAGCAGTCAAGACTGCTCACACGGGTTTTATGCATCGTTGGTCCGATCGATAATTCACTGCTCTCTAATTGGCAGTATCATTACGTTAAACATTAACAGGGCACTCAAGTCACAAGTTATAACACTTATGTAATGAATTTCTAACCTTACTATTATCAAAACTACTATTCGATTGACATTCATAATGAGATATATACACTAAAAAGACTTTGTATTTGCAAAATTAAGTCAATTATTTCACAGATATCTGTTTAATTACTCTTTTAAATATTTTTTCTGAATCATTTAAACAAATTATCATCTTCTAGATGAAGTTAAAGAAAAATAAACTCATGAATATGTTTATTTCTTTCTTTGTCAAATTTCTTTTTAAATTTTAAGATTCAACGACAAGAACAAGAATTGATTAGTGAACTGCATCAGTTTGTTGGTGAACGTAATATGCATCATATACAAAATCAACCAGATCAAGAGCAAAATATTGAAATTGCTGAAAATCTATTTAAAGATATTGCCAATTCATTAGATAATCAAGACATGGAATTATTGTTAATTCGATCAAATCTATATGAAAAAATTACTGAATTAAATCATTTAGAATTAATTACAGATAAATTTGATGCGATTAAATTGGAAATATATTTCCGAACTGGAGCTGTAAATCTAGGCTATTTAACAAATGAATCAGCAATGAATAATATACATCATCACGCTGACGATGATGATGATGAAGATGATGACGAAAATTATGAAGATTTATCTATGCCTCTAGAATGTAGTTCATCTTCTACCGGTTCTAATACATCGTCATCCATAGAATTGGCTAACAGGTAAATTTTTACTTCTTTACTGATTATTCTCTATTTTTTTCAATCAATAACTTGATTCGCAAAACTACTTAATTAAAAATTTACAACCTGAAGTATGGTCCAATTTAGGTAATCTTTTAGTTCGTTTATTTGTCTGAATAGTTTACCTGACTCATATACATTTATCATAATTTATGAGTAGACATGGCTTCGGTTTATACTTGACAATCAATATGAAGAGAAAAACGTGTTCAATAATCGCATTAAATAGAATGATATATAGGTTTTAATTTAAATTTGAACATTTTCACCATGTAAAACTTTGATAGTACCTTTTTAACTAGTCTTTTAAAGGACTTCATACCACACTGCTACGTTGAACATGGAAGATTTTTTCACTTCAAATGAATCCAATTTTGTTTACAAAAGAAGAGTGTCAAAATAAACTCTGTCGCTGATTGACTATAACGTAGAAATCATTGAATGGCACGAAGCCCTAAATAATTGTTTCATCATATTTACTCACTCATCATAAGTGCACTATAGGGACCTCACCATGAAGAGACTTCTGGTGCATCAGATCTGATGGTTTTGACGAATATATCGAAGGGTTCCTTAAATATATGCTCATGAATTCATTTTATTTCATTCAACTTTCACCAACTGTAATCAGTGATATTTAAATATTAAGATTTCAAACAACTCAATAACCACTTGGATTCAAGTAATACAAATTAGTCAGTCTATGATGTAAATAATAAATGTCACAATGTAGCGAGGTCTATAGGAAACATAATGAAGTTATACGCTATGTCGATTTGTCATGACCAATCAGTAGATCTAAGGAAGCCTCCTGAAAATTATTAGGAATAATAACAGATTATGGAGCTCAGTTGAACAATCCACTGGGTCTCTAAAAAAACAAAAATTTACTGAGTTTTTAAAGTGTATTCCAAGGAATTTGAAGTTCTATATTGTTTATAATTAATTAACAAGACAATAACACTCAATAAAATTCACCACTAAATCTATATGAAATTACTGTGATAATAAGTGAACAAACGCTAACACTTTTAGCATAATCGGAAGTTAGCTTGATTTATTCCACAGGAAAGCACTTCAACTGTTGTCCAATATAAATAAGATTTTAGAACATAGTTAACTTAATAATGAATTAAAAGACTCTAGTTTTAGGTTATTTGATAGTAAACCATTAAAGATTCTAAGCATCTCATGTTATTATCTTTTCTTTAATTTTATTGACTAAATATAGACCATGCATAAATTCAACAGCTTGTCAAACAGATATAAGCTTAACAGACCCAAACGATCAATGTAATTTAACTGTTCAACAGATTCAACTACCAAATAAGCAGTGCCGTACACGAGCATGCAATACAGAGTTAATATCGATGATAAATCAAGAAACAAATACACGTCCACGTGGTATTCATACAATAATCACATTTTCAGATATTTCTTCAAATGCAGCGTCGGAAGAATTTTTAGCTAAACTTGATAAAGAAACAATAAATTTTGATGAGATGGATAATCTAACTAGAGCGAGGATACGTCGTAAACTTCATGAACGTTTTAATACAGTTGATCAGATATCAAATGGTGGTAATAGTAACGGTATTTTGTGTAATGCGCCATATACATCATTGCATATTGGATCAAATGGAACATCGCCAGCCTCAATAACTCAGCCAACAAATGTCAATAACAATACTACATATAATCATAACGATGTTCATTCAAGACGTTATAGCTCTTATGACAAACGTTTTCATTTCTAAATACGATTTCTCTTATTTGAAATATGCATCCACGTTTCGGTGTTTTAATGTTTCTTTATTTAAAGTTTCATTAAATTCATGGACACTTGTAAACAAGTGACAATAAATTATAACCTAGTACACTGTTTTATGACTATTTTATTCTGTACTTATTACGTTAGGAAATTATGAGATCTTTTTAAATATTTGTTTCCATAACAACTTTATAGCAAAGAAATTTATTCCACACAACCAGTTTTTAGAGTTTGAATAGATCTACATGATTAAAAACCAAATGACAGGTATTCGGTAATGAATTTGAAATTAATGGTAGCTAACGAAAGTTAAACTCTATTCTCAGGGACGTTTAGTTTAAGTTAAAGGAACAGATCTCAGTTTAATTAGTTGGGCAGAAGTAAACTGTATGGGCGATCTTGGAAATCGCAATTAGCCTTGATCAGGATACTAGCTAATCAGAAAACAGTATTGTGGTGATGAAACAGTGTGCAATAAAAACGTGATAAAATGTCATGGGGGTAAGAGTTTTGACATTCATAATGAACCTTTGCATGCAAGTTGTTTTCTACAGTAAAGGAAAATGGTTAAGGGTTTGGAGATCGGGTTAAGAGCTAGGATTAGACATTGAGGTTACAATGCCCAACTTCTAAACAACCTGGTTTCAGCTATATTTCAAGAGTTAGAGTTACAAGGTGTAGCTCCAAAGTTGCCTTTCTTTTTAATTATATCGAATAATAAACTTCGCGCGTATATTCATGAGACCTCTTAAATCTATTTGGTTCTTCAACGAAGCATGTTACCACCCTAGGGACATTCAGATTGCTTCACAAGGTTAAAAAATCTCGATTTGTACTATCTTCCCATGGAAAATCATAATTTTTTCATTGTTATTCTTGGAATCCCACGAATTCATCCCTATTCTTTACTATTCTCATATTTTCCAGCATTAAGCGTCTGAAAGAATAATGTACGTGAGTACGGGTGTTATCTGCACCAGATTCACGACTTCACGTTTTTCCTCTAGTTCGCAATACTTATAAGCGCAACGGTTTGTTTGTTTTTTTATCACTAATCAATTACCGCTCTTTACCCCACATCATCATTTTCTTAGTCACTGTAGTCTCTAAGTTAAAGATTAATTTCTTTAAGTCTTGGTGGAAGCTTAATTTTTATTATAGTATAATACCTTCAACTTTATACACGATTTCACTTATTTCTTAAATCCTGACCGGCTACAGATCATTGATGTATTGATAAAATTGTTTCGAGAATCAAATGTTTGTATATTAGATTCAGTACTACTATTTCTATATTTACGTAGCCAAACTATTCTTCCTAGTACGATCGACACGCGTAGAGAGAGGATTTACGTAATCCCAACGAAAGTTTTCAGAGATTGATCTGACGATGCAGTTAGATCCTTCATAATTTCTTCTATTTGTTTTTCATCAGGATGGTGCCTAATGTTAATGGACGGAAAATCTGCAGTCCTTAACATTTCATCTAGATTGCTCTGTAACCACATGAAAGCTTTACGTCGTCATAAGTTCAATTTTTGATTCATCTCATTTCGATGAACTTCGTTTTCATCCACCAATTATAATACGCTTGAACCCATCATTATACGAAATTACTTTGATTCATTTCAGGTGTAAAGCCTGTGCGAACAGACGACAAGACGTTGTCGGACTGATGACTAATTACTCGACATAGAATACTTCAAAGCAATATGTAAACCAAAAGTGGAATACTTTGAGATCAAGCGAAAAATTCGCCGGTCTTTTAGCTTTTCATATAGCTTTGTAAAAGCATATCGGAGTGGAAGAGATCGACCCATATAACCAAAAACCTTTTATATAGGAGTGGTGAGATGAAAGAGATAAATGATAGGATTGCTAATTACGAAGAACCAAGTACTCCCAAAATAAACACCAACCAAGATGTATGAAGGCTTTGCACTGTGTTTGTGCTGACGGTCATTAATTCATCCAGCCAGTCAGAGCCCCCTCCCATATTAAAGCTAAAAATAATAGAAATACCTCAGAATGATGCTATTGAAGTGAATGTGAACACCAGTCAGGACAACCAAATGAATTTAGATACAAAACTACAAAATATCTCAGCAAAATCTCAGAAATATATAGTGAATGCTTCATTTGCAAAATTTCAATCAGTTGTCTCAAACTTGACTGTTCCTTCGTTTCCACACCAATCATTCACTGTTCTCGTTCTCTTTTCTTCAATCTTCTTAGACTTCTGCCACCAGGTATTTTGAGTAAACTAATGATTCTATGGAGGCCGTCCGTTATTTAATCGTCATTTAGATCGAACGATTTTGTCGAAAGGGCTCTCCACTATAGTGGCCTGAGATCTGACTCCAAGGAGATTGTAATGATGATTGTTGTTGAAATACATATGTCGCCTATCCTCGTATATAATCATCGACTTTAATCGCGTTAGTCAATAACAGATTTAAATAAGTCAAATAACGAGAATGGAGTTTTGAATACATATATTTTGTATATGAAGCGAATGGAATAGAGAGAAAAGAAACGACGCACAGTGGATATGGTGGGTAAACCAACTGCCATTTAGTCAAGCGCTAATCAGTATTTATAGGCATACAAAAATAAGTTACAGACATGTAATGAGTGATGGGATAAGAAGTGTGCACATACATACGCGCTCATATAAAATCAGTCAAGACTGATAAGCGAATGATTAACAAGATCAAAATGTGACTCAGGTAGGATGAATAGAATCGGCCGTCCGAAAGCTAAAATAAGGTATATGGGCTTAACATAATAACCGACACTACAATTCCTTTGTACTTGTTGAATGCTTGATTTCGAATTCCAAATACAGTACATTCGTCCGTGCTTATCTATTACTTCTTGATCCGATTACGTTATTGTTCGTACTATAATTCAAATACTCCTAATCATCATAATACTCCTTATATCTGTCGATGTCAGTAGAACACAACACACTATAACAGTGATCATCCCTTCAATCAGGAATAAGTCTAACAATTGAACGATGAACGTAATGTCAAGAAATTGTTCTTGAAAAACAATCCTGTTCGTTAATCAGTCAAGCATGGAGATTTATAGAACACGAGTCGGTATGGTAAACTCCGAAACATAGGGTTCAGTAAAACAAAACTGTGGTATTTAGTGATGGAACATGCAATAATAAACAAAAAGTTATAGTGACTCACATTTATCACGAGAACACGACTGGTTTAATAAAAACAATTATTATTATAACCAACTGTACCAGTGTTTGTTTTAACGTACTTTTGTTTGACTGGGCTAATGACAGCTATTTTGTGCTTCCATTCTTATACACACACACACTTTGATTGTAACTTCGCGCGAATTCGGTTACGTTCTGTAACCAAGCTTCTATCCTGGCACGATCTCGGTATCCTTTCGATACCATGAGATCGCCAGCGAATATATCCCGATTTGGTCCATTAATTGTCTTCTGATATTTGGCTTCTCGGGGATTTTACGGATTTATTTGGTTACGTTCAACCTTCGCCTTCTGATTTATTTGGCACGTGTTTCTCTGTAGCGGTGTTCATAGTCAACCGCGACTCGACACCACGCTACAAGGTCAAGAACCCAAAATTGTAAAAGATGAAGAGTAATAATAACTTATAACATCCGTATCTGTACTTCCTTGTCAACAATAAAATCTGAGGAGAAAGCTTCCGAATATCCAATCGAAACATTTATTGCACCAAAGGGGAGAAATTATATTATTCAGTATATGCAACTAAGAAATACAATACCTACGTGAAATAAGGAGGTGATTCACTTCGACCTCTTAATCAGATATTTTTATTCGTATTATTATTCGCTTTCTTTTGGCTCATGACAATCACGTTTGAGAGAGTAAACACAAAGCACATGAACAGAGTGACAGAGGAAGGTAACGTCACACATGGAGTGGAACACTGTGTTGCGGTCATATGTGTAGCACATCTTTTATATTTTTGCCTATATATTTACCTAAAATGTCCTACAAAGATTATATTTGAAAGTGTGGGAGCAGAAAGGAGCTCAGTAACTTCTATAATTGCCCAGTTTATCCCGAAATTTGGAAGTCATTAACTAAGATCAACTGAAATGTTTTGTGACAACAATAACAGACCAAGAATCAGGGAAAGATTCATGGAGATTTCTTCTTTATTATAAGTAGAATTGACTATTTGTCAATCTTGCTCCTGTCGAAACTTGGACAAAGTAAACATCAGACGCCATCTGGAACTTTAATACATCACGAAAAGTCGTAAGGTCGTAGACACCAGAAACGGTGAATTACCTAAATATGAATGAATCATGCCTGCTCAATTAAATGAAAGGATTTGTTTCAATTCCGTTATGTCAACAATCATCATCCTATAGGTGAAACGAAAAAAATTAATATCCTTTAAGATTACGAGACACATGAAACAAATCAGTCTTCGACTGACATGATCGTTTTCATTTGTGAGCAAATGTCATTCGTCACCTCCGTTATCAACTGGAGGTCGGGTCATCTGATAAAGTTTGTGGTAGTAAATAAAGTCTCAGAATAAGCGTCGGCATAAGCACTCGACTTTCGTACTGACCATATCAATTGCATTGGGCACGCCACTAGCTGAGGGCGAGCAGCTAAGCATCCGAACCATATTATGTTTGATTAGCCATGGCACACATCTCTTGTGACAATAAATCGGCATATATTTTCATTTGAAATATATCATCGCGGCCCATCATCCTTCAGCTCTGGTCTGATCGACTGTTGTCTCAGTACAAAGAGAGGTTTCAGAAGATAGTGTTCTCAAACACCATGCATCTGTGACTTATTCAAACTAATACAGACAACTTACTTAAGTGAAATCTTGCTGATGAAAAGTTGCAGTTAGACCTTAACATATAAGGAGACTTTAAAATCGATAAACGTTCATACAGAACCAGGTCTCAGTTCACATTCACACAAAATTAATCTATAAATAAATGGTTTAAATGGTTTTGGGC